GTTTTTATCATGGAGGAGGCAGCGGCTCATTTCTGCCTTCAGTCTGACGGCGCGCCGCAGTTTGCGCAGCGTGCGCTTATTGAATCTGTGTGTGTGTGTGTGTGTGTGTGCGCGCGCGCGGCACAGCTCCACGAAGCTTGGTTTATGCTTGACGCGTTCACTTTCCGCTTGGTGATGCGGCTCGCGGATGGAACGCGCTTCACAACTTGCAGCGTTTAAGTCACTGTGTCTTGCTATTGGTGTTATTTAAACCAATGTTGTAAAATTACTTCTGCCCAGCCCAGATGTGCTCACTTGTGCACCCGTGAGCCGTGGTTCCGCTGGAACGCGTCTGACCTCTGACAGACGCACTCTAAACTTCAGATCTTCAGCGCGTGTGAGGTTTACAATGTCAGAACACCTGCATGAGACAGGTGTTAATTACAATCTGCCAGAATGACTCACCACCTTCAGATTTCTCCAACACCATTAAAAATGATAAAATACGGAACATATCGGCGTGCGCAGGCCAGAGTGCTGAAGCTCGGCGCATTGTTATTATGAAGTTAGGGCACATGTGGAGGACACACACACACACAAGTAAAATATACTTGTTTTCAATTACATTTATTGTGCCCACTTACTTGTTCTTAGGCCCACCCACAAATGAGTTTTCTGGCAACGCTAATGGTGACACCTGACAGACTTCTCTGAGCTCCGCAGCCATTACACTTTTCATCTCGCGCACCCCCGAGGGTGCGCGCACCACACTTTGGGAATCCCTGGTCTAGATAAATCCATTCAGGAACCTGGAGGAAGTTCATAAGGAGACAAGGCTGGAGTCAGAACATCAACAGCCTCTAAGCACAGACATTTCTGACAGTTACCCTAACCCTAACCAGATTAGTTGTCATCCAGGTAAAAGGAGACCCATTCAAGTATTGATAGAAGTTGACATTATTTTCAGAAGCAAACATAGCAGTCAGTGGAGTTACTCACTGTTAACTGCTATGAACTCAGTCATATAACCATAGAAAACCCACAGCATGACCACAAAAGAGTCAGCCAAGTCTGTACGTTACGTTTAGACATGAATGAATTCCATCCACGCACACACACGCACCCAACAGAACTTGTGAGACTTGAAACAGAGAACTGAGCGAGAGTGGACGGAAAATTCACGCCCCTTTTGAGTCGATTCGATTTTGGTCGTCAGAGTTATGGGTTGTAATGTCATCCAAATTAGTGGAACCCTTGTGCAATTTGATCTGGTTCCTGTGGACCCACTTATAGACGGGATCTTTGTTTCCTTCGGTGATCTTGAGCTGATACACGACCGGAGAGAGTTTTTCAGTTATCAGGTATGGACCTGACCACTTCGGCAAAAGTTTCTTAGTGTCACGTCTGCCCTGCTCACTACTGATTTCACTTAATACACTGCAGTTGTCCCAGTTCTGTGTTAACAGGTGGGTGTGTCGGAGAGCCAACTGTTCCTGATCTCCCTGATCAGAGGGCCAGGGGCACGGGTGGACTGGCCTATCTGGCATTCTGGCACGGTCCCGGTGGGCCGCTTAGCCAAGTGGGCTGCTTGCCCAGCTTGGGCCGTCACTACTCCACAGTTGGTGATCTGCAGAACATTAGCTACATGGTAACCCAAAGCTAACAGAGTTTTTCCTGGCGTTTTTAGCAA